ATTTACTTAAATCGATGTACTATATACTATTTAGTATATACATAAAATCAAGTTAATATGAAATTTTTTTATTTAAAAAAGGGGTAATGGCAAATAGGCCCATGACAAGGGTACTTAATTAAAAGAGGGACATCCAACTTTTTTGTCTTTCAAATAAATCCATCCCATTCAAACTTATTTGCAAATAAGGAAAATCCCTTTATATATACCAAAATTACCCCCAATTCATTGAAACCCAATTCAACTCCAATTTCATGATTTACACCCCAATTTAGCCTAATTTCATCAATTAACCAATTTTAACCCAAATTTCAATTTTGACCCCAATTTTAACCCTAATTCTTATCAATTCCACCAATTGTGCTCTAACTTCCTTAATATTACACATTGACCCCGGATTTAAACAAATATATTACATTAACCCCCCAAATTTTTTTTTTTCAGAAAATATTTTTTTTTCTGAAATGTTTTTTTTCCGGCCAGATTCCGGGGTTGACTTTTTTTTTTTTTTTTATAATTTTGTTTTTTCTTAATTTTTTTTAATTAATATTACTGTCTTGGCTGCTAAATTACTGTCTCCTGCAGTTATTTAACTGCCGGAGACAGTAATTTAGCTGTTAATTGACTTTTTTTTTTCTTCAAAAATATTGTAATTAATATTTACGGTATTCGTTGCTAAATTACTGTCTCCAGCAGTTATTTAACTGTTGGAGACAGTGATTTAACTGTTAATTGACTTTTTTATTCTTAAAAGAATATTTTTAATTAATATTACTGTATTCGTTTGCTAAATTACTGTCTCCAGCAGTTATTTAACTGTCGGAGACAGTAATTTAACTGTTAATTGGCTTTTTTTCATTTTTTTTCTTAAAAAAAAATATTTTAATTAATAGTATTGCCTTAGATGCTAGATTACTGTCTTCAACAGTAATTTAACTGTCTTAGACAATAATATTACTGTTCGGAAAAATAATATTCATAATATTACTGTTCGAAAAAAATAATATTCATAATATTACTGTCCCAAACAGTAATATTACTGTCTGAGACAGTAATTTAGTAGCTAAAACAGTAATATTAATTAAAATATTTTTTTCTTCTAAAAAAAAAATCAAAAAAAAAAAAAAAAAGTCAACGCCAGAGACCGGCGGTCAACGGTGGTTGACCGACCGGAAAAAATTTCAGGAAAAAAAAAAGTTTTCGAAAAAAAAAAAAAAAAAAAGTGAACGCCGGAGACCGGCGGTCTGCGCCGGAATCTGGACATTTCAGAAAAAAAATTATTTTCTGAAAAAAAAAATTTTGGGGGTTAATGTGATATATTTGTTTAAATCCGGGGTCAATGTGTAATATTAAAGAAGTTAGATCATAATGGGTGGAATTGATAAGAATTATATTATTGAGGGTATTTTAGACTAAAGACATGGGGATGGGCTTAATTGAGAGCCTGTTTTTTTTGTGCACCAAAGTCCCATGTGATGGGCCTTTTTGCCATTTGCCCTTTAAAAAAAGGTAAATTACAACCACCTCCCTGAGGTAATGTGTAATTACCAAAAAGAACCCCTGCCTTTTGATAAATTACATCCAGCCCCCTGCAGTTTATAAATTTCTTATATCCACCCCTACAAAAGGGTGTTAATGTAAGAAATCTACAAATTGCAAGGGGTTAATTTGTAAATACACCTTACCTCAGGGGGTGATTGTAATTTATGCAAAATACTATGAAGATTTCAATTTTCATGTGAAATAAATGCTGAAAATATGAACATAAGACTGGAAAAAAAAAAAGAGAGGCAAAGGATTCAAAGTTGTACCACCACCGCCCGTACGAATCTATAAACTCGGACTCGGTGGCGGGCGGACTCATTAATTTAGTCTTTTTGTTCAAAAGTTGAACCCCCACCCCCTGAATTAATTAATTATCAAACGTTACATCATTAACAAGATAATATAACAATATAATAATAACACAGTCTAATAATTAATTCTAAAAAGAAACTTTCATAAGTTGACAAAGAAAAAATAAAACATTTAATTTGGGAGTGAATTATTATTATTAATATAGATGTAGGGAAGAGGTAGAGTTGACTCTCTTGACAGTTGACTTTTTCGCTGTGTGTAACATGGAAATGGTAAGCTCAATGGATTTATCATCTTTCTTCGTAACGTGCATCTTCGTTTACTTTTTTTTTTTTTTTTTTTATTTATTTTATTATTATTATTATTGGAAAGTCAAAACCTGGAAGTTGATAGATTGTCTATAAAAACATCGTAGCAAATCAAACCTTAGCTTAATTATTTTCAGATAAAGCAATTTTCGGACAATTTTTTGTAATAATTTTAGAAAAAAAAAACATGATTAATGTTGTCAAGGAAGAAACAAGGTCGAATATGTTTTCAGCCGATCGTGTCGACGACGAACAAATGAAGGAGGTAACTAATTCATTATAGTTTTCGATCGATCGTTCGTTAATTTGACTATTCGCAGTTATTTTAGTAATCAACATGTATTCTTGCGCTCACCGGATCAGCTATTTTAATTATATACGTCGATTCTTTTCGTGTTTTATCTCGATAATTTTACGAAAAATAACATGTTTTAATTACTACTGATCATGCAGCGAGAGGACAATCTGAAAACAGCGAAAGCGAAGATGGATCGAGTCAGAGAAGAAAACGGAAGACTGAAAAAAACATTATCCCACATAATGAAAGATTACGATTCGTTGAAAACGAAATTCAACGGTCTAATCCAAGAGAATCACGACGTGCCGAAAAAATTGAGAAATTTATCTCCTCCCGCCGTTGTTGCATCCGATAATGATGATGAATCTGATATGGTTTCTTTAAGCCTGGGAAGATCGTTTTCGGGTGATTTTACGAAGAGGGATATCGAGAAAAAGGGTAGTATAATTAATCGTAATGAAAATAATAAAGTTTCGGACGGGCTTGAACTAGGGCTACACTCGAAATTCCATTCGGATAACGATTCTACTGACCTGTCAAAGAATCTTGTCGTACCTGAAAATAGCTCCGATGAATCCAAGGAAGACGTAAACGACAGCGCACGTGCGTCTGATAAAATCCCGAAAAATTCTAGAAGTGGAGATGATGAGATTTTGCAGCACATTCCTTTGAAGAAACCTAGGGTTTCTGTCCGAGCTCTCTGCAACACTCAAACGGTTAGTGATCGATCGAAAAAATGCTTACACTTTTTTTATTTTTTTATTATAAATTAGAATATACACGATTTCATGTTTCTGAATTATGTGGAGTTTATTTATGTTGATTAGATGAATGATGGATGTCAATGGAGGAAATACGGACAGAAAATATCGAAAGGGAATCCTTGCCCTCGTGCTTATTACCGTTGCACGGTCTCCTCGTCGTGCCCCGTTCGAAAACAGGTTTGTCGATTTCTAATCATTTAATATAATTTTTTTTCGACTTTGACACATTCCTTATTAGTTGCCTCATTTTTTTTTTCGATTTTCAGGTTCAGAGATGTGTAGATGACATGAGCATTCTTACGACCACCTACGAAGGAACACACAACCACCCACTTCCGCCTTCGGCCATTACCATGGCCTCCGCCACCACAGCAGCTGCCGCCATGCTCAAATGTGGCTCCTCCACTTCGCCGCCAAGCCACAGTGGTGCCTCAGCCACCTCCTCCACCAGCCCTAACAATAATCTTCTAGGGTTCAACTTCAGCAGTAGTACTTCATCGAATTACGCGAACCTCAACATATCCCATTTCCCGAAAGCCACAATCTCTTCTTCACAATCACACCCTACCGTCGTATTAGACCTCACCGCACCGAATCACACGACCCCATCTCCACAAAATAACAACAAATTCTCGTCGAGATCATTTGCACACTCTTCTTCTTCTTCTTCTCCGACGTCGCTCAACTTTTCGTCTTTCGATACCAACAGTATAGGCTGGGAAAGCAAATTCCCGGGCGTAAATTATCAACCTTCTTTGTATAACAACTTTCAGATTTCTCAAAAACAGACGGAAAATGATCCGAAAATCGCTGCAATAACGCGTGATCCGAATTTTCGATCAGCTTTAGCTGCTGCAATCACGTCGATTGTTGGGACTAATATTGTTCAAGAAAGAAACACGGGTCTGAATTTTCATCCGAGTTTTTTGAATAAATTTCCTCAGTCGGGAAATCCGCAACAGAAGAAGAACTTGACACAGTTTCTTCCATTGACTATGTCCTTGGCTGATGAAGGTGAACAGATAGAAGTCATGAATTTTGGAATTTGAGTTCAAATTCTTTTTTTTTTTTCTTTTTTGATGAATTTGCGTTCCGATCCCAAGAGTCGATTCCATGGATCCCAACTCAATGTCATTTTCTTCTTTTAGGTTTAGGAGAGTGATACTGTAAATAAGTAATCCATGTACTTACGTTCATTCACCCTTTTTTATCGGTTAATTTATTCATACTTCTCGAGAAAGGGACTTGCTAAATGCACTACTCCATTTACTGATCATTTTTGTTTTACTCGTACATACCTGCAACTGAACGAGGAACAAAACAAATATTTGGCAAGCCACAAGTTTGCTATAAATAAGCTTTTCATTTTGCTCAAAAACGTGTTTTCCATCAACCTAATTCGTACAAGATGAGTTGCTAAACATAACAGCGAACCATTTATCGAGAAAAAAGAAGAATCTTTATCGTATTACTTTCAGATGTAAGGTTGATCTTCAAATGGTTACAACAGAGAGACTCTAGGTGCTGCTATATAAAAAAAACATGCTTCGGAGTACTGTACTTGTGATTGTAAACTCATATCGTTTATCTGATCCGGCACTGCTTTTATATCTCCAAATCGTGTCCAATGTCAAATTCAACTCAAATCGAATAATCCATCTCCATGTTAATTACAGGGATCTCAGTGTTTAGGAGTTCATCAATGCTATTGCTTAAACGGCCAATGGCAGAGACACTTACTTCCCAGTTAGGATGATGAAGTTGGCGTAATTACGCTGTTAGATGCGATCCCCTGTTTTTATCAGCCCAACTTCTATAGTGATTACCCTGGATTTGCCGAACAAGAAATTTCAAATCCGTAATGTATCAGAAAGTTAACGCTGAAGATTATGAAGATAAAACCTCCCATCTTTTATGCGAACTGGAGCCGTTTGAAATGAAAGAATAACCATCGATTGTAGTCTCGGAGTAGTTTATGCTACTCCTATTGAACTAAAGCCAGGGATTTTTTTCAGGCCCTTCTTGTTCATTAACTTTCTGATCTTCTCCACATCTTTCCACTTCTCTTGCCCAGCATATATGTTAGACAAAACCACGAAAGGAATCGGGTTTTCAGGATCTAATTCTAAAAGTCTGCGAACCATTTCTTCTCCTAGTTTCGAATCTGAGTATTGCTCGGAAGCACCAAGCAGAGAAGCGAGAACAGTGGTGGATGTTTCATCTGTTGCTTGAAGCAGTTCAAATGCTTCATCTAGCCTGCCTGAACGACCAAGGAGATCAATTAAGATATTCATATGCTTCGGAGTTGGATTTAAACCATATCCTACGGTCACTAGTCTGAAAATCTGGAATCCCTTGTCAACTTGGCCACTGTGGCTGCACACAGACAAAAGGCAACTCAGAGTAACTAAATTTGGCTTAACTTTTTGCTCGACCATTTGACCGAAAATATCAAAAGCAGATTCACTCATTCCATGCTTTCCATACCCAGAAATCATGGCATTCCAAAATGCTGGATCATTAGGCTTTATATGAAACTGATTGAAAACATTGCACGCCCAAGAAGGTAGCCCACACTTCATATACATGTCGATGATTGCAGTAGCCAAGAATTCGTCATCAATGATCTTCATTCTCGCAACATATGTATGAATCTGCTTGCCATAGTTTTGCGCGGATAGAGATGAGCAAGCTGCTAACAAGCTAGTTACACATCGCACACTTGGTATCACACCGCAAGAAAGCATCTTCCTGAAGAATAGAAAAGCTTCGTCTGCTTTTCCTAGCTGAGAGAAACCACTGACCATGGAATTCCACGTCGCCGAGTCAGCTTCCAACCCTACTTCACCGTCTAACTCAGCAAATAGGTCGGTAGCGTTTTCGATCTGATCATTTAACATCATTCCTGCTATCATTGAATTCCATGTTATCAAATTCCTGCTACTTCCCATTTCTCTAAACACGCTATATGCACATTGCCAAGAACCGCATTTTGAATACATATCCACAAGGCCAGTCCCAACGTTAGTGTCACCCTCTAACTCAAATTTCACAATGAGCCCGTGAACCTGCCTACCAAATCTCACACAGTTACCATTTCCACAAGCAGATAGTACAGAAATCATTGTCACCACATCAGGGTTCACATAAAGCATTCTCTTCATTTCAATAAACGAGCATAAAACTGTTTCAACAACCCCATTCTGCGCTAGCCCCGACAGATAAGCATTGAAGCAGACCACATTTTTGTTACCGATCAATCCAAACAACGTTGCAGCAGAATCCAACTCCCCGCAATTCAAGTACATCTTCATAAGAGACGTCGCAGCATAATCGTCCCTCTCCACACCAATCTTTACACCCAAACAATGCACTAGCATGCCAATCACCACATTCCGACACGCAGACACCACGCTGGCCACCGTAACCGAATCAAGCCTGAGACTAGGAACGCAAAAAAGTTCGAACACTCTAAACCCTTCTTCGAAAAGCCCACTTTGCGAAAATCCAGAAATGACAACGTTAAGAACGGACACACTTGGGTCAGAAATTTCGTCGAACAGTTTGGAGGCACTGTCGACTAAGCCGAGTTTCATGTACATGTTGGTGAGGTCCGTAGTAGTGTGTTTATTGGTATACCCGGATTTGAGGAGATGGGCGTGGAGCATTCGGCCATGGGAGAAAGCCTTGAGCTCGGCGCAGGCTTTAAGGATGTAAGGAAAAGTGAAATTTGTAGGAGGAATAGAGGCGGAGTGGTTGTGTGTGAACAGGGCAATGGCTTCTTTGTAGAGCCCGTCTTTCACTAGTTTCGCTATTTGGTGCCTCATGGGCTGCCTTCCTCTATCCCCGCCATTGTTGAATCGAAAGCAACACTCTTTGTAAGAGGGAACTGAACGTGAAGGCCAAAAAAAAGGAGCTCCTTTTTTGAAAATGCAAATTGTGATTTAGGGTTTTTACTTATTAATTCCACTTTGCACCCTTCAAATATAGTATTTTAGCACTTTGAACCCTTGAAAAAAATTAATAGCACTTTGCATCGCCTAAGCATAATAACTCATTCACAATGAATCCCGAATTAAAATATTTAAAATTTAATGAGGAAAATGTTATTTTATTTATCGGTTTTATATTCAAGGTGCAAAATAATAAATTAAATTGTTATTTTTATTTTTATATAATAACCAATAAATAAAATAAAACTTTCTTCACTAAGTTTTAAATATTTCATCCAGTGTGCATTTTGCATATATTATGTTCCGAGGGTACAAACTAGAAATAGCAATTAATTTTTTTCAATAGTGTAAAATGCCAAAATATTAAATTTGAAAGGTGCAAAGTAGAATTAAGCCGAGTGCAAAGTTTTAAATATTTCATCCAATGTGCATTTTGCATGATTTATTGTGTTTTAAAGGTGTAAATGACAATTATTTTTTTTCGAGTGTACAAAAAAAATGCCAAAAAATTATATTTAAAGGGTGCAAAGTGGAATTAAGCCCGTTGTTCATTCCACCAATGAATTCATTGTCACACATTTTTTTTTTTTTTTTTATATATAATTTTGTTTAAATATATTGAAGTAACTCGATTTTCTCAAAAATCAATTCGAACTACAAAAAAAAATAAAAAAAAAATAAAAAATAAATCATTAGTAAACCGATTTGTTTGGACTAGGTATTTCAAATAACACATGTTCCCCCTGTAATATACTTCAACTCACACCATATACATATGAACATATACATGTATATATGGCATCACTACAACTTGTTACTAAGGTTTCCACTAAGATTCCCACTTAGATTCCCACTGCTAGTCCACCCTTCTTGTACTTGAACAGAGTACTGCATATGCCACAGCACATCCTCCACCGTCGGCCGCCCCGCCGCCGCCTTCGACAAGCAGTTTATCGTTATCTGCACCACCGTCTTCAACGACTCGTAAGCAAATGTCCCTCGCATGGACGGATCTATCAAGTCTCGTAGTTTCGACGGCGATTCCGCTAAGCTCCTCTCAAACTGCACCACCAAAATCAACAACAAACGTTATAACTTATAATCATCGATCCACGTAAAATTAAATCGATATTTTTTTCTTTTTTAAATTAATTACCTGAAACTTGAGGTCATCTAATTCACTCTGAGAGTTTACAGGTCTACCAATCATAACCTCAATCAGAATAACTCCCAGCCTGTAAATATCTTCTTTTTCCGGATTTTCGCTGCACGGAATTAACCGAGTCCCGGTTAGACAACGTAAAAAGGTTAAAATTCGAGAAAATACACGAAAAACATCGAAAAGGGTAGGCAAAAAAAAAAAATACTTACATGCTTGTCTGATTTGAGGGATCTTGTCCGTTAAGTGGGCTTTCTGCACCAACCTGTAATTAATCGAGAAACGAAACGTTAAATGAATTATTTTTTAAGGATCGTGTTATTATAAAACGAAAGAATTAAACGAACCTTAGACGGCAAGTTAATGTTGTAACTGTTAATTTTAGCAGAGAGGCTGTCGTCCAAAAGAATGTTCTCGATTTTGAGGTCATTCCCGGTAACACCACCCGTGTGTAAGTACTGAATGCCCCTTGCTATTCCCATCGTTATTGCCATTCTCTGTGGCCATTTCAGTACTTCCCTCTTTCTCCAATCTGCCGACACAGACGAAACAAAACAATTAGTCTCGTCCCGAGAAAAAAAAAAAAAAAACGGAGTTTTTTTAGGGGCGAAAGAGGTATTTATTTATTTGAAGTACCGATGAGGTGGTCTTTAAGTGAGCCGTTGGAAATGTTTTCGAGGACGATGAAGACGGTGCTGGCGGTGTTTGGATGGTCTTGGTAGGTGACGATGCAGTGGCCGATTACGCTGACTAGGTGGCGGTGCCTCAGCTTCGAAACGACTTCCATGTGCTGCTGCAGAGCTTGCGGCGAGTGCTTCTGCTTTAGCTTTAGGCATTTTACTAGGACCACTGTTCCATCTCTTAGCCATCCTTTGTAGTGCTGTACAAATTATATTCAGACATCATTAATCAAATCAAAACAACACACACACACACACACACACACACACACACACACACACACACACTTGATATATTGAACATTTGGTGGGGGGCCGTGGCCCCCAAAGTCGTATGCTCTGCTCTGCTACTAAAAAGCACATGTTAGGACTTGCTTTTAGAGGTGGAAATCGGACAGAGCATTTAGAAAGTCCAACTTTTTTCGGAAGTGGAAAACTAATTCTAGTTATGTTTAAGAAAAATCAATATTTAGGAAATTGGAATGAAAAAACTTATTTTCAAATCGAAAATTTTATGACCGGAATCGGCGGAATTTGGAAATTCCAATATTTTGGTGACCTAAAATGCAAAATACTACATTAATAATATTGATATTGTAAGTGTAAAGTGTAAATTCCGAATTTTTTTTTTGGTATTTTCGGAAATTAAAATCAGACCGGGAAGCGTAATCTATCCAATTCCGTAACAAAAACTCGAAAAAATATGTAATCGGAATGAAAAATATTGTTAAAATCGTAAAATTTTGAATCGGCGAAATTCGGAGTTTTTAATTCGATTTCCACTCCGAATTCGGAATCGAAAAATACTGTTCCAAAAGTGGATTTTTTTTTCCAATTACCTGACCCTGCGATCCTTCTCCGACTAAATTAGACGCGTCGAAGTTATCCGTTGCTTCTTCCATTTCCTCGAGTGTGAACACGTGATACGGTGGCAGTCCGATCGAGGTCATCCTCATCGGCTGAGGCACATGCCCTAGTTAAGAAACATCGTATCAGAACAATACCGAAAAAATCATCTTGATTTTCAGACAAGAAAACAAAACTTAGAAAAACAAAAATTTAGAAACTTTACTTCCAAGTGGAGATCCTCGAATCGGATTCGCGTTTTTCTCGAACACAAAGCTGTCGCATTTGTACTCACTGCCTCTTCTCTTTTGCACCCTTCTGAAAATAACAAGAATCAAGAATCCCAATAGGCCTAAAACAACCACAACACCGCCTATAATCGCAAGTACGATTCCGAGTTTCAGAGTCGATCCGTCGTTCTGGTTTCTTCTTGCGGGTGGCTTAACTGCTAACGCGTCTTTCTGACAGAAAGAAGTTGGTCTCTGATACTTCGAGGTTGTATTCGACAGACAATTCCACATGATAATAACCGTCTTGTTCCCCACGTTCGGCGAAAGGCAAGCAGGCAACTTCCCGATCAAAAGATTACTCGAAACGTCCACAAACGCGAGATCGCCACCGCACGAAACGTTCGGCGCGAAACCCCCACTGAACTGATTCTTCGCGAGGCTAACGTATCGGATAAACGGCATCGAGAACAAGAACGAAGGAACCGGGCCGACTAGCCTGTTAGACGAAACATCGAACACTTGGAGTGCATTCGACAACTTCTTCAAATCCAGCGGGATTTCGGATCGGAAAGAGTTGTTCGCAAGCGAGATACGGGCGAGATTACTGTTGCCGCCTAGAGACGGAAACTCCGGGCCCAAATAATTGCTACTCAAATCGACTTCTTCGAGAAACGACAACTCGCTTAGATCCGGAACGCTCCCGTTGAACAGATTATCGCTCAAGATCAAGCTTTTCAAACTCTGGTAAGTCGAAACAGAATGTGGGATTTCACCATAGATGAAATTCGAGCTCAAGTTCAACACCTGCAGCGATCGGAACCGGTTAACCTTCGGCGGCAACTGCCCCCACAATCCGACAGAAACCAACGAGAGCTTCTGAAGATTCGAGAGTTTGGTCAGCACGGTGAAGAAAGAATCCATCGAGAATCTTTCGGAGAGGGTTTGATCGGAGACTGCGAAGTTTGAAGGAGAGGGTTTGGGGTTGATGTGAGAAGGGGAGGTTTTGTTTCCGACAATGGATAACTCGGTGATGTGGTTGTCGGAGCAGATGATTGTAAGAGAAGGGTTTGGGGGAGTGGAGCAGAAGTTTGTCCAGTTGTTCCATGATTGAAGAGATGGTGGGTATTCGAGAAACTGCTGAACGAGGAAGAGAATTCTGTTTTCTGTTGGAGCTAGCTGTGCAGTTGAGAATGGAGGAGATGAGACGAGGAGGAAGAAGATAACGGCGGCGGCGGAGAAGAAGAAAGTGCTCCGTGATTCTTCCATTTTTTTTCACCTGAACGTGTTATTATTCCATGAAAGTTTGAATGTTTGATCACTGTGTTTGTAATAAAGTTGCATGTAAGAGTGAATTCTGCAAGAAGAAGAAAAAACAGGTGGGAGTTGGAGAGAGAATTGAATGTGGGGTTTGTAAGAGTGAGAGAGGGAGTTTTCGTTTTCATACAGAGATCTGAAAATGAGAAGGTTCTGCCATGTAAGCTCAATTCAATTGGAGCTTTCTGTTTTCTCTCTCTCTCTCTCTCTCTCTGCTCTCTCTCTCTGTTTTTTATTAAATGATGCAGTTGGGGGAGATCGGAGCCGTAGATCCGGCATACTATTTAGGGTTTGTGATGAGAAAGTCAACGGTGGCACGGAATTTCGAATACTTGGGGTTTGACTTTGACCATTGGAGTTTTGGTGGACTTGCAAGTAGGGGAAGACTCTGGATTCTCACCGGTAGCGGTGAAAATTGGAACGTAATTTTCATTTTCGAATTCCGTCTATTCCGATCCAAAAGTTTATGATTTTGGAACAATATTTTTTAATCCGATTCCGAAATTTTGATTTTCGATTTTTTTTCAAAATTATTTGGATTGAAATTGGGAAGTATATGAGATTCGATTTTCGAACCGATTAAAATTCCGAAAATAATTCCAAAAATTCTGGTTTTTTTTTTTTCCGAATATTACTATTAAAATATCAATATTATTATGTATTTTATATTTAAGGTGAGCAAAAATTGGAAAATTCTGAATTCCAATTCAAAATTTTCCAATTTTGGAACAAGTTTTTTCGTTCCAATTTCCGAGTTTTTACACTCCTATTCACTAGAGTAGCCAATGGAGGCATGTGGGTGAAAACTTGAGCCTTGTAATATTTTATTTTCAGGGAATTATTATTTATAATTTGTTGGAGATCAGATCTCAATGTAAAAAAAATGGTGGTTTCATTGAATTACTGAATTATATTTTGCGTTGATGGATAATATACACCACATGCAAGTATTTCGAGTTTATGACAAACTATATTAATTATATTCATTGTTTTGCAGACTATTTATTTATTCTTATGTAGTATAAGAAAAAAACATATTCATTCATTCAGACAGACATAAATACAAGAACCCATTTATTAATTTCATTTAAGACCCCATTTTATTACCATGGTGCATATGCAGCATAGGAAAAATAGGAATTATTTCATTTACTGCATTACTAAACTTTTGTGACACTATCTACTCATACAAAAAAAAAAAAAAAAAAAAAAATAAATTACCAATTTAACACATATTAGTAATAAATAATCGTACTTGTATTTGGATTTCGGCTGACATTAATTAAAGCTATAAATTTTACATTTATAGAAGTGGTTTCAGTGTCTAGCTATTTGCCTATTTTACTTTTTGCCTGCTGATTTTTTTTTTCTTTTTTTAATATGTGTGAATACTAAATGATTATATAAATAAAGGTGGGGCAATGCAAGTACCTAATTCCATGTGGTGTACGTGAGGAAGTTGTGTCGGTGGCGGAGCAAAAGAGAAAGCCATCACTCTCTCTCTCTCTCTCTCTCTCTCTCTCCTCTCTCTCTCTCACACACACACACACACACACTTACACACACAGCATGCAGAGACAAAAAGATATTCTAAACACAAGAACATTAAAACAAAAAATAACAGCGAAGGAGATTGACATATTCTATATATGTTCATACACTGAGTGTTCAGTTTGTGAATTTCAACTTGTCTTTGACATTTAGTGCAAATGTGTGTATGAATTTCGTTAGAATTTTTCTTTCAGACAAGTTGAGTAGTACTACTCCATATATATAGACGACAAAAGGTACAAGCTGGGCAGCTCTAAATTCTAATAGGATGCGCATATGTCGGTCTTATCGGTCAATCGACCCACTTTAATTTTTTTGTGCGATAACCGATAATTAATCGATTTGTTACCGACCCATCGGTCGGTGGTTTTCAGTTTACTCAAAAGTCGATTGATTGGGTAATATCGCCAACCGACTTTGCATTAATTTTTCTTTTAATATATTTAATTATAATTCTTATTTTCTTAATGTTAAAATAGTATATAAAAAAAAAGTCAAAAATCAAAATCTCAAAACACAAGTTTCTAAACTTTTACGTATTAGTTTGATTTTATAATTCTTATTTCATATTCTTCGTTATATATTTACTTATTGTAGAAGCTTAATTCTTAATTTTAAAGTTAAGCTTTTTGCGACATTCCCAAAATTTTGAATATCTTAAGAAAAAACTTTTAGAAACAATTAATTATTATTATTAAAAAAATCAATAAATAGATGGTCGATAATACTAATCAACCGACTTATCGGTACCCGAACAATTCAATTGCCAAACTATTATTCGACTCGTAATTCGGTAATGATTTTCAATATTCAGCAAATAAATCCTGATTGGTTGGATCGGATAGGCAATTGACCTATGATTGCCCAACCCTAAATTCTAATGTACACATGTGATTTATATATTTTTAATTTGTTAATTATCATAATAGTGATATGAAAACCACACAAAAGAATATTGTTTAAATCTTAAGTAATTTAAAATTAAATCCACACAAAACAATGTACGTGCCTTATTTTTCAACATATTACACATAAATGTCAAACCAAGCTACCCCACTGATTGTTGTTAATTATCACGGCGTGAGCTGGCAGAGCTTGGACTCTACTTAATGACAGATAATATCACCTAATTAAGCTTCTAATTAATTACTCTGTCATTCCTAAATATACGCATTATCTTAATTAGGACAGAGCCACATCTATATGTACACTACTCTATTAAATTAATTAATTGCAACTCTAAATCATATTTAATGCATGCTAAGCATTTAGTGGCCTTACAGTAACATGTAATGTGCAAAAAAAATTATATTTATTACATTGCTTCATCAGTATTCAGTAGTATAAGTACTTTAATAATTCTGGGTGTAATTTTTTTTAATATAACTAAAAAAAAAAGTTATTTGTAATTTGGACTTGAATTTATTTGTAAATTGGGCCTCAATGATGGGCCTTATCCAAACCCATCTTGTGACAGTATGGGCTCCGGCCCGATTTTAAAATTTAAATGCATCCCTAAAAAACAATTTCTTGGTATTTTATGAAATTATTTAGAAAATGTTCATAGTATTTTATTAATTAGTTAAAATAAGTGCACAAAATCTATGTATAATAAGTTCGAAGTACTATATACAGTGTCTCGTAAGGAATAAATGACCTAACTGTTGGAACAAGTGAGTTACCTATATCGATTGATTGTCGTACTTTTGAGTATTTCAACTACTCGAGTCAACACGCATCACATTTAAAAAGGAGCTGCCTTATATTTTATTTTATCATACAATATTTTCTTTGAAATTGAAGCTGAGATATTCGAGCGACATGGGATTTGAACGATTTTCCTCTCGATAAATTTGACTCTGTAAAATTATTTTGACGTACTTTTTTTTTTTAACTACTTTAGTCCACATATATCACATTTGAAAATCAGTTACTTTCATTTTATTTCTTAGAAAGTAATATATGTTTTTTTCAATTGTTGATTTTGAAATATTTAATTTAAATTGTCAGAAATTTAAATGGGCACGTGCCATGGAGTAACGCCAAAATTTGATAATACAACTCACCGTGATGTATAGGGCATTCCACGAAACCACATTAATTAATTGCTTTTTAAATTTTTTCCCCAATTTCAAATGGGTTCTAAGAAATTAAAACGACGTCGCATAGTCGAATCACAGCCCGCGCCTGGTTGGCTTATACTGTACTACCTACAATTCGAAACTCAAAAAGAAATTGAAGTGATTTCAAATCGTCAGATGCTTTCTTCTTCTTACAAGTTCTAAACCACACCAGATTTCTGCCATTGATATATGCAAATCTCGAGCTGTAATCTCTCTCTCTCTATCTCTCTCTCTCTCTCTCTCTCTCTCTCTCTCTCTCTCTCTCTCTCTCTCTCTCTCTCTCTCTCTCTCTCTCTCTCTCTCTCTCTCTCTCTCTCTCTCTCTCTCTCTCTCTCTCTCTCTCTCTCTCTCTCTCTCTCTCTCTCTCTCTCTCTCTCTCTCTCTCTCTCTCTCTCTCTCTCTCTCTCTCTCTCTCTCTCTCTCTCTCTCTCTCTCTCTCTCTCTCTCTCTCTCACACACACACACACACACACACACACACACACACAAAGATGCAATGCTTGGATACACTGTCGTGTTGCATGAACATAATGTGAAACAATCCCCGAACCCATTTGCAGATCTCTGAAAGATTGAATTTTTATGAAATTATGGTTAATTTTTCTTGTTTTGATTCCGACAGGTGAAAATGATTTATGGGTTTTGAAGTAATTCGCCGTCTAATTGAGGTGAGGTTAAGATCTACTTAGTTTCTTAATTAGTACTTAGTTTTCTCTGCTGATTCTGTATGGGCTTTGGTTTTTAATTTTTTAACTATTAAGTTTCTGCATGGGTTTCAGTATTTATCAGCTATCAGTATTAAGCAAGTAATTTTAACTAGTTAATGTAGATTGCTTGATCAATCTACATTATAAGCTACTTTCTTCGATTCTGATCAAGAAGTTAGATCCTTGACTCGAAAGTGATGGGATCTCGATTTCTCACCTAATAAACTTGTTATAAAAATGGCTCGATGACTAAGCGAAGCAATGTCCGGTTCGATACATTGCTTTACGTGATTTCAATTTTATCCTTGAATATGTGTACATAGGAGTTCGATCTCAAATCTCGGTTACAGATTGTAGTGTTTGATAAAATTTTCCATTGGATTCACCTCATACTATGTTGATCATATGCCGATGTGGATCTCTAGCAATTAAGCTGCGATTTGATCAAAAATCACGAACTTATAAGCTCATTTGTAACTGCAAGGAGAAAATACAAGTTTTTTCTTATTTATATATTCTGCTTTTTTTTATTGGAAATTTTCTCGACATACTGATTTTTGGGCAAGTGCGTTACCATTTATAGTGCCATTTAAAAAAAATTAAAACAAGAAGAAGAAGTTATTGTTGATTGCCCCTCGAGAAAAGCTTCAGTACATTAATTACGATAAATACTTATATATTTAAGGCGATATATCACCTTTAAACGTGTTTGCTTGATTCATTATGTTTTGCTTTCTGCACTTACAGATTTAAATTGATTTGAAATATTGCAGGTTTCCTCGTCTAATCTTGTAACGTATCGGCCTTACTAGGATGGGAAAATCTCCAGGAAAATGGATCAAGGGCCTGTTTGGCAAAAAGTCATCCAAGTCTAATTTATCCGAGCAAAGAGAACTTTCAGTAAGTTTCCATTACATGTACTTTGTCTGTGCCTCGTTTTTTCTTGCCTAAAACATGTTCTACTGGTCTCATAAAAACCGAATCTTGAGCATAATGAGCAGTAGCAGTTGTTCACGTGTTTGTGGTTTTTTTTAAATTTTCGAAAGTCTTACGATTATTTTCTTGTCAACTATACATGAAGAGATCTGCAAGCAAGAAAGAACCAATACCCACTTTAATAGTCGATACACCACAAATTTCGAATGAAGTTCCTCTTCCAATAAGCATAATTGACGAGGGAGAGTCTGCAAAATTGCCAAACGATGAGCTAGTTTCCTCTTCCGCTAAGCAAGATGCTGACATCATTGACATGTCATCAGACCCTAGCCCACCAAATGGTGCAGAGAATATTAGGCTCGAACAAGCTGCTACAGTTGTTCAAGCCTCATTAAGGAGTTATCAGGTACTTATTACTGCTGCTCTGTTTTGCTACTGTGATCAGTTTTCGGATTATTTATTTTAGGATTTGACATATATATATTTTTGTAAAGTTTTTTCTTGAGACGTCGGTTTTACTTATACTTTTGCCTATTTTGATGACTTCAAAAGGCTCGCACCTCGTTTGAAACTCTAAAGGGCATCGTAAGGATGCAAGCCATTGTTCGTGGTCATTTGGTTCGACGACAGGCTATCGCTACATTATTCTGCGTGCAAAGTATTGTCAAATTTCAAGCAGTTACGCGAGGTCGCATTGTTAGGCAGTCCGCTATTGCAAGTGGACTGTGCAAAAGACAAAGTCTTGTCGAGAAGGTAAAGTAAATCGAATTGGTTTCTTGTTCATGTAATCGATTTTCATTCGATGCATTTGATAAGAAATGGGGTAATTCTTTCTCCACTAGGACTCCAAGCATACCGATTATAGCAAAACGGAGAATAGCGCAGCTGATAATTTATTGAAGAATGCGTTTGTTTATTCGGTAGGTCCATTTACTGCATTAAACATAAGTAATACTATTGATAATTTTTTGAAAAAAATATGTTATTTATATAAGTTCGTCTCTTTCAGCTACTTTCGTCATCATCAACTAGAATGCCACTGCGCCTTCAGTACGGTCCTAGTGAACCAAACTCTGCATGGGAGTGGCTGCTTAGGTGGTCAATATCGAAAGTGTGGGCCCCACCTTATTCCGGGCAGAAAGAAACAGTTCAAACGGAGCAAATTAGGCCAAATGCCGAGATAGAAAAACTTGAGCACAAAGAAAGAAAATTATCTCATCAGTCAGCCAAATCTGCTCTCGAAACCGGGAATAACAAAGTTAGGCATGGTGTAAAGAAAATTCCGAAAAAATCCAGTGAGGAAATATCCAATCAGGCTGAATTCGATTTTCTTCCTTCAGACAAGGATTGCCAGGTCAGCGTCGAGAACTATAAATCGAGCCGGAGAACTTCATTACCATACGAACATGAAGATTGTGATGTAATGCTTGAGAGTGGTACAAGGGTGCCGAGTTATATGGCAAGAACTGCTTCTTCCAAGGCTAAGGTGAGAGTGAATGTTTCGCCGAGATTCGGTCAAGATGCAGTTGATAAAAAAGGTTTGACCAGGCGTTTTTCTTTGCCAACTTCGGCTAATGGAAAATCGAGTCTTTCGCCGAGAGTTCGAGTGCTGGTTCAAGGTAATGGCGGAGAAGGACTCGATATCGACAGATCTTTATCCTCTTCAAGAGGCAATATTGGTAATAGTCTAAGCAGTTAATTGGTCATGTTAGTGAAAAACGGCAAAAAAAATAAAAAAATAATAATCTTTTAATTGCTTTTTACGAGCTCTGCGTGATACACTTTTCACATTTTATAGATTCTAATCAGTTTCTCGATTTTCAGATAAGGTGATTCAAGTAGATTGGAAGAGGTAGCTTTATCGAAAGCGGACTTACCATAGCAGGACGGTTGTCATAAAACTCTAGTGGTAATACTGTAAGAAAAGCTGCATTAGATTATGCTATTTAATTACTGCATTCATAAACTGAAAAATATTATAAAAAAATAAAATAAAAAAAAATCGACGAAAATGGACCTGTAGCCAGCCTGGTTCAGTTAGAGGCTTAATGACATGATAATCAGGTTTACCACAGGAGTTCCCCCAAACACTTCATTGAATGTCGTTCGTTTTTATAGAACATAAAACACTCAATGAAGCGATCGAGGGCAACTCCAGTAGAAAAAATCTGATGAATTGATTTTTTTTATTCGAAAACTGAATTCTTTATGTATTATTATTATTATATATATATGTATCAGGAAATCTCCGGGAGTTCCCCCAAACACTTCAGTGAGTATTTTTATTATTTAAAAAAATAAAAAAACCGACTCAATGAAGCGATTGAGGAAACTCCAGGGGAAACCTGATGACTTGTTTCGATGAATGATTTCAACCTGACATTATTATTAATATATATATAGTAAGCTGATGCATTTTATTACAGGCCCTGGAAAAATATCAGGCCTTTGTGGGAAACTTGGAAGAGATAAACGCACCTGGACGCAATCATGGTATAAGTGGAGAAGAATATAATGGGGTTCTCAAAGGTTAGAGAATATGTCGATTCTTTCTGCATATCCCAATTCCCCAAATCGTAATATATTTCGTTTTTCATGTAAGGAATCAACCCTTTTTAATGCATGGCGATTGAACTCGTGTTACGTTCATTTGCCATTGTGATTTATTATCTCTGGAAAAAAAAAAGGTGATGGACCAAAAAGATGGATTATATACGATATGGTCATTTGTTCTCAAAATTTATAATATTCCCTTTTCATTATTTAACCTGCATTCTTGACCAGGTTCGAACACTCCCCTGTATTTTACCTTGTTTTCTTGGATTGTAAGTGGTCCCGTCTCAATGGTTCATGTTTTTTTTTTTTTTTTTTTTTTTTTTGTAAAAAATCGATTTTTATTCTAACGGTAGGAAAAGGTAATTGAAACAAAGGGACAGGTTCTTTAATTCTTGAGCTCTCTCACAACTTTTTTCACTCGAGTCCTTTGGCGAAAAGATTATGTTATTCCCTCGATTTTTTTTTCTCTATAAATAGGTAAGAAAGGAACGATAATAAGTACGAAATGTGAAAGTGAGTCGGGTTTTCCTCTCGAGTTCCCTTACAACAACTTCAGTCGAACCAATTAATTAATCAATTATGGTAACTCCCCTGAAGTGTTTGGGGGAACTCAGGATGATTAGCTGACATTAACCCGTCGTGTTAAAGCAAACGTCGTAAACTCGTTTGTGTTACGAAAACTTCCACCAAGTCCCTTCCTATTCATTTTATTGCGTAAAATTCTCACTCATTTTTTTTATTTCTCGAGAAATTCATCTTCATCAGATTTTATTGTCTTCATCCTTGCTGTTTCGAATCTGGTTTGTCACACACTACCAATGTTTTTGTATCTATCAAAGCAGCTTATTTCCTATGTTTCACGAATTCGTTGTAATAACCTCGTATGGTGGACTCAAAAATCTTTCCGTACGAAATTGTTTGGTTCATGTTGTCCTTAAGAAGAGCATTTTTAATCCCCAAACCCGTGACCAACTCGTATTGTGTGCTGCACATGCCGATTGTGCGACGCAAAAAGACCAAAATACCCTTTAAAGTTGTAGCTTTCGAAAAGTACAGATTCACCCCGAAATTTTATAAACCTTAAATGAAGTTTTCAAAAATTTCAATTCAATCCTTGATATTTTCAGAAAAGCCTCCAAATCGACTCAAAACCCTGACCCGTAAATCTTCATCTTCCCCATCGCTGTGCTGATCGAAACAGAAGTAATGTTTTGAAACCCGGACCGGGCGGTCCGACCGGTTTAACCACGAACCGCCGCCAAGTCCGGTCCGGTTGGATGTAATAACCCAAAAATGCCTACAAACCGGGTCAGGTGGTGAAGAACCGGAAAACCCACGGTTGAACCGCCGACCCGGAACCAGAAAAAATCCGGGTTTTTTATCAAAACAAGGGGAGAAAAAAAATTATAAATAGAACATCGATTACCTGTCTGTTCAAAGCTTGACAGGAAAATTGGCAGTGATGTGGTAGTGCCTGGTGGGCGAGTGGAGGAAGGAGGATTAAGGTGGTGTTTGCAAACGCTTTTCCAAAGTGATTCTGAGCTTTTTTTAGTTCAAAATTAGTTTTTTTTAAAACATCAAAAAGCTCATAATTACTTTGGAAAAACGTTTGCAACCACCACCTGAAAAAGGAAATTTTGAAAAAATGGGTAGAGGAAGAGGATGTGAGAGAGGGGAGTTGACGGCGGAAGTGTTATTACAATGTAGGGTTTATGCTTTTATGTTTCTAAAATTGATTTAATTTGATTTATTTTTAAATTTCATGTGATTTCTATAATTTGTGTTCTTTTGTGTATTTTTATATTTTGTTGGGGTGATTAATAAATAAAATTATGGTCTTTACATAAATATTTAGTAGCGATCATAATCATAATTATATATAAATAATTTAAAAATATAATACTTACTTTTAAATATATATAAATAATTAAATAAATAAAAAATTAAAAAAACCCGGTTGAAACCCGATTGAACCGATCCAACCGTGACCCAGTTAGCTGTCCGGTTCGTTGTCCGTTTCGTTCACGGTCATTGGATTTTGGTAAACTAGGGGTAATTTTGTCGATTTATACTCGATTCATTTCATTAGCAATTATACGCTTAATACCTTGAAATTCAAACAACAGTAGAAACAGCCACATTCAAATACATATTGATAAAATAACAAATAAGTTTTTTCTCATACTGATCAACTAATTTATTTTCTCTAAATTGAGAAAAAAAGTGATCAGCGTCAAATTATTGATCCTCTACCAGCAATCGCAAAAGCCATTAATACACCAAGGCACACCCCCACGGCACCGGTAGCCGCTACAATCAACTCTCCCATCACGACATCGTTTTAGTGGAGGAGGTGCAGCCGACACTGAATCTTCCCCAACATCGACAACGTCAGCAACACTAGCATCACCTTTCATCGTAACTGATTATATTTTTAATGCCAGATGTGAATTTACAGAGATGATCTTGTTAAATAATGTCATTAAATTCAAATTATATCTATATACATACATTAGAGAGAGAAACTAACCAAGTGAAATAAGCAAAAAAGAGACCAAGAAAATAATCTTATGGGAAGCCATGTTCTTGAGTTGCTTGTTACTGAGATGCACACTCGAATTATTTGCACGAATATCCAGTCATTTCGAAATCGTGTATATATAGGCGAAGATGATATAATGTAATAAACCAAAAAAAAAAAATAAAGTAGATAATTTCATTAATGGGATTTTGCCTCTTTATAATCTTCATATCAACCTGCCATTAATGCAATAAAAAGAAAAAGTCAATTCAATAAAAAGAAAAATATAGATAATTTCATTCTTGAAAATCAAGATTTCCCTGCCTTTTTAGTTCACCTCTTCACATTGCTTTCTATGCATTTGTTGACTGTAGATACATAAAATTAATTAATTGGTTAATCAAATTAACCAATTAAATTGTGTCTAAATTAAATTATAATTTATCTTGTAAAATAAGTTATGGAGATAATTATCAATTAATTATTGGCCAATAAGATTATTTCTTCTCTTTAAAGAGAGCCAATCAAATCGCGCCACGTCATCAAGAAGACTTTAAGTATGACTCTTATTCTACCACACTATAAATAGGGACCATCCCTACACAATTCAAAACACAACTTAAGAAGAAGAAAAAACGTAGGAGAAAATTCTCTCTATAATATTCAAGTCGTTCTTCATCAAATTCAAGGCGTATAAGTTCAACAAATCAAGATCGAAGAAGAACTCCAAGATCTTCAAGTCAAAACCCGTCAAAGTTGAGCGTTCGATCCGAGATTCAAGTCGCAAGACCTTCGGAAGCGAAGAAGAACTCCAAGATCTTCAAGTCAAAACCCGTCAAAGTTGAGCGTTCGATCCGAGATTCAAGTCGCAAGACCTTCGGAAGCGAAGAAGAACTCCAAGATCTTCAAGTCAAAACCCGTCAAAGTTGAGCGTTCGATCCGAGATTCAAGTCGCAAGACCTTCGGAAGACGTTATTCAAATCCAAATCAAATCTTGAGAAGATCAAGTCAACGACCCGACTCCGAAATTCAAAGTCAAACGCATATTATTCTCGAGAGATGAATCGGATGATTAAATTAGAGTTTGTAACCCGCAATATTTATTTTTAATTCAATAAAATTATTTGTGTGCAAGTTTTTCTTATTTGTCTAAATCGTAGATAAGAATTTGTTGCTACAACATCTAATTCTTTACGGGACTAATGCAGAAGGCGAAGAGATATTTTCCGCTAGTCCAGGTTGGATGGAATCGAGCTTGACCGATAGAATAGCCATGCCCAATATATATGCACCCGTAGCTAGAAGACGCTCCACCATGCACTGTGGCCCCACTCTCGAACGACCATATTATAGATCCCGTCTTACCGTCCATTGCGTAGACGGGCCCATTAGGCGCTGTCGATCCTGCAAACAGAACTCCGTTGACTATGGTCACGGGCCCGTGGGCCGTATCGTTGCTCGGATTAGCGGTGGTCCACCGGATTCTTCCAGTGTTGGCGTCCATCGCCACCCAGCCGCCACCGGTGGTGATTCGTTTTGACGGCTTTAGTGTGAAGGGGAGATTGTCACCGTTTACTATGTTAGTATACACATGCACTCCATCCGTGGCTGCGCCCCATACGCCGCCTCCTTCTAAGGATCCGGGTCCCGCTTTCTGTGGATCAATGAATTCAAATAAACATGTTTAGACTAAAATACCCTTGTCCACTATTCGAGCTTTTAAGGCAACCAACAACTCAATCGTATGTAATTGTGCAACCTAACCGTGAAAAAAGAAAAAAGAAAAACTCGAAAAACTCACCGTAAACCAGACTATATCGCCGCTATCGCGATCCAAAGCCCAAGCAAAGCCACTTTTTTGGACCGCCACCACAACATCCCTCAATCTCCGTTTCGAAGTGATGGTAAGCAACATAGGAGCCTCCCCGAAATCAGCATCCAAATTCGGGCCGGGCGGGCAATCCGGGTTATTCGGAACCAAACACGCAAAGTAGAAGACATCGTACCCTCCGAGCTGCCGGGCCCACACGATTTTCCCTGTCTTGATATCGAACGACATCAAAGAATCGAAGTGGACGTCCAATCCAAAACACTGATCTCCACTTGTTGGCGGTGTTGTTCGATTGTTCTGTCTAGCCTGACACCGGAGAACTTCCGCCGGAGCGAGGTAGAGATTGCCGGTGCCGACATAGACACGGCCACGAACGGTGTCGATGGAGGGGCTGCTCCCCCATATGGCGGCGCCGGAGTAGCCTCCGATCTTGCCGCCGTTGTCCGGTAGAGTGTAGGTCTGCCATATTATTGCCCCTGTTCTTACATCAAGCTTCACTAGGCTTCCTCTGAAGGTGCAGCATTGCCCTGCTGGCAGTGATACTTCCAGAGACGATACTCCCACGTAGAATCCCCTTAATTCAATCAAACATATATACAAAATCAAAATCAAAATCAGATTTATTAATTAGCATCTAATTAATTTTGTTTTAATTTACAAATTGGGGATTTTATTGTGTTAATGGAAGATCAATACCTTCTGTAGACAGTTCCAGAAGCGGTCACTACACTCAGCGGACCCGGGTCGACTCGGGTGGACCAAACGAGTCGACCCGTGGCCCGTTCAACAGCAACCACATAAGCGGGACCGTAGATTGCCACGATAAGGAGATCACCGGCCACCACCGGAGTTGCTCGCGAAACCGTCACGTTCACGTATAGCCTCGTCGGAGTTATGCCTGTCAATTCCCCCAAACTCCGTTGCCAGATCAGCGTTCCGTTGGAAGCATCGACGGCGTAAAGATTCCCGTTCCATGACGGAAAGTAGACTACTCCGTCAGCAATTGACGGTGTCGCCGTTATGTCGAACCCGGCTGAGAATTTCCATTTTTGTTTTAGTAGTCCTAATTTCACGGAGACTGCGTTGATTGTTGTTCCTCCAACGGCGCTTCTTCTGTTAGTGATGTCTCCCCCGTGTGTGAACCACTGCAATTATAATAATAATTATTATAATTATAATAATAAAAATAATAATCAGAAAATAAAAATGATCATACTTCAGCGGTTGACTTTTCTACAACTGAAAGCAAAAGGAATGGCAATAGGAGAATAACAAAAATGCCATTTTGCTTAGTTAGGATGCAAGTAATTAAATTCATAACTTGATATGAATATGGGAGCTAGAAATTTTGAGATATTTATAAACTGAGAAAAAAGTCCACTTCATGAAATTAAATAATTAATTAGATGAAGATTATCTAGAAGGGGCATTGACTTTTAGAAATTTGACCGGAAAGTCAAAAGAGCTGACTTTTAAATATGTTTTTAGTTACGTAACTAATAAACGAGTGACAAGTGTCCATTTGATCTTAGCTGGTGTGCGGGGCTCCTTCCTCAGTTCCGAGCGCGTGTACTTCCATCCTACGCGCCTTCATCCATTTTATTCATTTCTCAAACTGGAATATTAATTGTTGGGTCAACCAATTAAAAGGCCGCGAGGTCCATCTTATGCAATAATCCGACTGAGTCTCTTAAAACGCTGTCGTTTTAATTTATTAAGATTATTTGCTTTCCCTATTAGAACATGATTCTAGTTATTTCAATTAAATAGGCTTTATCTTACTTGTTGGAGGACAATGCTAGGATCTTTAAATAGATTTCTTGTATTAGAGTTTCATCAAGCATAAATTATTATTGAATAAATCGAATTATTGAGATTCACAAGAGATCGTATCAATTGGTATCAGATTATTGAAATGGAAAACAAACTGGTCGAGTTCCACCAAGAATTCCCTAGTCATATACACCATAGTGTATGTAACAAATCTTTCATCCAACTTTACGGAATACAAAAGGCGAAGAGATACTTCCCGCTATTCCAAGTCGGATTGAACCTAGCCAAGCCGACCGAATAACCATGGCCAATGTAAACGCACCCATAGCTAACCGACGCTCCTCCATAAACAGTAGCCCCAGTTTCGAACGACCATATTATAGCCCCGGTCCGAGCATCCATTGCATAGACGGGCCCACTAGGCGCCACCGACCCTGCAAAAAGGACTCCATTCACTATGGTCACCGGCCCATTTGCGGTATCATTGCTAGGGTTTGCGGTGGTCCACAAGATTCTTCCGGTGTTGGCGTCCATTGCCACCCATCCGCCACTAATAGTGGTTTGCGTAGACGGCTTCAGTGTGAATGGAACATTGTCACCGTTTACGATGTTAGTATACACACGTGCTCCATCGGTGGCGGCACCCCATATGCCTCCTCCTTCTAGGGATCCGGGTCCCGCTTTCTGTGAATTGATAAGTAACTCCTCAATCAATTTAAATAAACATCAAATAATATCTAATTATGTACTCCCCCTATTCCTCAATATTATTTTAACACTTTTGCACAAATATTAAGAAACTCAATAAATGTAGTTCTACTAACAGAGATATAATGGAACAAAAAAAGTAATAAATTATGACATATTTGAGCTTTTAAGACAACCAAAACTCACCGTAAACCAAACTATATCGCCGTTATCTCGATCCAACGCCCAAGCAAAGCCACTTTTCTGCACGGCCACCGCAACATCCCTCAATCTCCGATTCGAAATGATAGTGAGCAACATAGGAGCCTCCCCAAAATCCGCATCCAAATTCGGGCCGGTCGGGCAATCCGGGTTATTCGGAACCAAACACACAAAGTAAAAAACATCGTACCCTCCAAGCTGCCGAGCCCACACAATATTCCCCGTGTTGATATCAAACGACATCAAAGAGTCAAAGTGAACGTCCGGCCCGAAACACTGGTCACCAGTGCTCGGTGGCGTTGTTCGGTTGTTCTGCCTAGCCTGACACTGAAGAACCTCCGCCGGGGCAAGGTAGAGATTGCCGGTGCCGACATAGACACGGCCACGAACGGTGTCGATGGAGGGGCTGCTACCCCATATGGCGGCGCCGGAGTAGCCTCCGATTTGGCCGCCGTTGTCCGGTAGAGTGTAGGTCTGCCATATTATTGCCCCTGTTCTTACATCAAGTTTCACTAAACTTCCTCTGAAGGTGCAACATTGCCCTGCTGGCAGTAATACTTCTAGGGATGATACTCCCACGTAGTATCCCCTTCAAATTAGGGCATTAATTACTGTGTAATTAGTTTTTCGATCCAATCTTAATTTTAATTTTTCTTTACCAAATTTAAAAAAATTCTCAGAAAATTGCATGTATAATATCAATATTTTAATGCATATTATAAGTGACTGGAAAATTGGATTTTTTGAACTAGGCCGGTTCTAATCCACAAAATTATATATTTTGGAACAATTAGTATTTTCATTCCTATTTTTCCGAATTTTGCTGGAACAGAATTGTAATTACATTTTTTTTTTCTGAAAAAAACTATTTTTTTTTTCCGAAAGTGCTAATTTCCATCCAGTCCATCCGATTTTAATTTCATCTTTTTTTTTTTTTAATCAAGGAGAATATTTTATATTAGTTAATTTGTTTTGTGTTGGCTAGATAAGATTAGCCAAAATAAAATTATATAGTATTATAAGAGGGGTTGAATTTTATATATAGAGACTAATAACCAAATATGAAATAAAACCGTAACTGTGATTAGTAATGAAAGATAAATAAATAATATAAGAGAGTTGCAATGTTAACTAACCCCTTGTAAACAGTTCCAGAAGCGGTTACTAACGCCAACGGACGCGGGTCGAGCTGAGTTGACCAGACGAGTCGACCCGTGGCCCGTGTAACAGCAACAACATAAGCGGGCCCATATATTCCGACAATGAGGAGATCACCGGCCACCACAGGAGTGGCTCTCGAAACCGTTGCATTGCCATAACGCCCCGTTGGAGTTAGCCCGGTCAGCTGCACCAAACTCTGCTGCCAGATCAGCGCTCCGTTGGAAGCATCAACGGCGTAGAGATTCCCGTTCCACGACGGGAAGTAGACTGCCCCGTCAGCAACCGACGGTGTTGCAGTTATGTCGAATCCGGCTAAGAATTTCCATTTTTGTCTTAATAAACCTAATTTCACCGTTATCGGATTTATTGCTCCTCCTCCGACGGCGTTCCTTCGGTTCGTACTGTCACCTCCATGTGTAAGCCACTGTATAATCAGAAAATTAAAGAGTAGTTAATCGATCATTTTTTCTGTTTTATTTAATTGTATTGAACATTTTAAAACATTTAAAAAAATAAATTAATAAATAAATAATTAATTAGCATATATATACCTGTGCAGCTGAGTTTTCTACAATTGAAAGCAAACAAAATGATAAAAGAAGAGTAACAGAAATGGAATTCTTAGTTGTGGTGCCAGTAATTAATTTTAAATCCATAACTAATTAATTGATGAATAGAGGATAGCTGTTGATCTATTTATAACCAATGAGAAAAGTCCACTTGTTGAATTAATTAATCAATTGATTAATTAATTAATTAATTAGAGCATATAGCAACTACGAATTGCCAACCCTAATTAGGAGAGAAGAAATTTTCACTATATGTATTCAATAGAGTTATAATAACATAGATTCGATTACTTGCACCAGCTTATCATCTTTGAAATCAGTTGAACTACACTTAAAAGGACAGTAATGCAATTACTTGCACCAACTTACCATTCCCGAAATCAGTTGAACTATACGCGTAAGGACAATAATGCCATTACTTGCAACTCATGAATTACAGCAGTTACGTTAATTATGTGTACGTGTATCGAATCCGAATTAATTAAGTCGAAAGGTATATCAAATCCGAACAAAGTTGTAAGTACAGGTGAATAATACTAATTAATCCGAACTAATTGTTCATATAACACGCCGTCGACTGACTCTATTCGTAGCAATATCCAGGTCCAATCAAACTTTTTATATATATAATTATGATTGAATAAGCCGAATTATTGAGATTCCCAAGTGATCGTATCAATTGGTATCAGATTATTGCGAAGGAAAAATTGAACTAGTCAAGTGTATGTAACAAATCTATCATACATATATGTCGTTTATTGAAAATCTCTCGATATCGTTTTTGAGTTCACTTCTCTTCGCATCGTTTTCAATGCACGAACCTAACTTTACGGAATACAAAAGGCGAAGAGATATTTTCCGCTATTCCAAGTCGGATGGAACTTAGCGAGGCTGACAGAATAACCATGGCCAATATAAACGCACCCATAGCTAACCGACGCACCTCCATAAATAGTAGCCCCAGTTTCGAACGACCATATTATAGCCCCCGTTCGAGCATCCATTGCATAGACGGGCCCACTAGGCGCCACCGACCCTGCAAATAAAACTCCATTCACTACGGTCACCGGCCCGTGAGCTGATTCATTGCTAGGGTTAGCGGTGGTCCACAAGATTCTTCCGGTGTTGGCGTCCATTGCCACCCATCCGCCGCTAGTGGCGGTTTGAGTAGACGGCTTTAGTGTGAAGGGGAGATTGTCATTGTTTACTATGTTAGTATACACACGTGCTCCATCGGTGGCCGCACCCCATACACCTCCTCCTTCGAGGGATCCGGGTCCCGCTTTCTGTGGTGATCGAAACTAAAATTAATTCGCTGCGAAAATATGAGCTAAGCCTAAAATTATGAAAATATGGAAATCGACATATTCGAAAAGTGGGGACGCATGAACTCGGTGATAAACATTAGAAATATCACTATCGAATATCAATTTGAACTGATTATTAAATCATGTAAATAATTAAGGAAACAACAAAAATGTTGGGGAATTCGCGACCGGGACATTTTTCTAATTCTAGGGAAATTAAAAATGGTCGACAAACTGTCCGACACGAAACGTTTTCGAAATACGGTGTATTAAATTTGAAAAACAAACTCACCGTAAACCAGACTATATCGCCGTTATCTCGATCCAAAGCCCAAGCAAAGCCACTTTTCTGCACGGCCACCGCAACATCCCTCAATCTCCGATTCGAAATGATCGTAAGCAACATAGGAGCCTCCCCGAAATCCGCATCCAAATTCGGGCCGGGCGGGCAATCCGGGTTATTCGGAACCAAACACGCAAAGTAAAAAACATCGTAGCCTCCAAGCTGCCGGGCCCACACAATATTCCCCGTGTTAATATCAAACGACATAAAAGAGTCAAAGTGTATGTCCGCTCCGAAACACTGATCATCAGTGCTCGGCGGCGTTGTACGGTTGTTCTGCCTAGCCTGACACTGGAGAACTTCAGCCGGAACGAGGTAGAGATTGCCGGTGCCGACGTAGACACGGCCACGAACGGTGTCGATGGAGGGGCTGCTGCCCCATATGGCGGCGCCGGAGTAGCCTCCAATTTGGCCGCCGTTATCCGGTAGTGTGTAGGTCTGCCATAGTATTGTACCTGTTCTTACATCAAGCTTCACTAGGCTTCCTCGGAAGGTGCAGCATTGTCCGGCTGGTAATAATTCTTCTAGGGAAGATACTCCCACGTAGAATCCCCTACAAATAACAGAAAATTCAAATGTCGGATTAATCTATTTGTAATACATATAAAGGGTAAATCACAAAAAAAAAAAAAAAAACCCGAAATTAGGTTAACTAACGAAAAATACCTCATCTATTCGTAATTACCAAAAATCCCGCGAGATTTGTTTCCGTCTTACACCAACCTCTTTAGTGTGATTTTTCACGGATTTTTTTTTATTTCACGGATTAGACTTTACAGAATTTCAGATTTTTTTAATTTTCACCTAGTTAACGGAATGTATAATAGACTCTACATATTTTTTGTTAAAAAACTCTATCAACAAACTCTATCAACAGTTAAAGAGAAGGGAGTTTTGGTTATTATAGATAGGTGGGGTGTTTTTTGTTATTTAGCCTAAGTTCAGGGAGATTTACTTAATTTACCCTACATATAATTAGATAGTGATTTCCGATCCCAGTTTAATATTTGTTTTCAAAAATTAAAAGAAAAAAAAAACCAGAAAAGTGCATATATAATAGGGTAATAGCACATAACCCCTTGTGGTTTGGACATTTTGCACATGACCCTCTTATGGTATGAAATTAGGCACATATCCCCTTGTGGTTTGGACATTTTGCACATGAACTACTTATGGTATGTAATTAGGCACATAACCTTCTTGTGGTTTTGACATTTTACACATGACCCCCTCATAGTATGAATTAGGCACATAACTCCCTAAATAAAAAACATGGAAAAGACTAAATTACCCATATTTTTTTCCCAAATTGCATCCATAACAACTGTTCGTTGGTTACTCCATCAAGTCAAATTTTCTTGTTTTAATTTAAAAATAACTATTCTATAAAATTAAAAGCTTAATGTATTTTTTTGTAAAATGAGAAATATAATATATTATTGTGTTTTTTTAATTTTACAACACAAAAGGTATATAATACTAGTTATTGTACGATTGACAATTTATTCAATTTTAGAAACCAATTTGAAAATCTCATATGCTACAAATCAAATGTAAAAGGATTAAACTCGATATAAAATTATGAACTGTCAATTTCTTTGTTCAATTATAATTCGATAAAATAATTCTATATATTTCTAAGCTTTAATATTATTATTATTATGATTATTATTTACTATTTGTTATATAATATATTATATTATAGTTGTTATCGAATTTTAATTTTTTAAGAAATAAAGTCTTTATTCTTTAGGGGTAATTTAGTCTTTTCCAGTTATCTAGTCAAGTGTGTTATGTGCCTAATTTCATACCATAAGGGGGTCATGTGCAAAAAGTTCAAACCACAAGGAGGTTAAGCGCCATTTAGCCTATATAATATCAATATTCGGTTTATCCTAAAGCATATTATAGGTGATTGGAAAATTGGAATTTTCGAATTCTACCGATTCCAGTCACAAGTTATATATTTTGGAACAAGTATTTTCATTCCAATTTTTTGAAATTTTGATTTCCATTTTTTCTTTCGAACTTTGTTGGAACACAATTAGAGAAAAAACATGGAATGTAATTTGCTAATTTCGATTCAGTCCATCCAATTTCTAACTGAAGGAGGCCAAATAATATAATGAAGATAAATAAATAAAATCTTGCAATGTGAACTAACCCCCTGTAAACAGTTCCAGATGCAGTCACTAAGCCCAACGGACGCGGGTCGAGCTGAGTTGACCAGACGAGTCGACCCGTGGCCCGTGTAACAGCAACCACATAAGCGGGCCCATATATTCCGACAATGAGGAGATCACCGGCCACCACAGGAGTGGCTCTAGAAACCGTTGCATTGCCATAACGCCCCGTTGGAGTTAGCCCGGTCAGCTGCACCAAACTCTGCTGCCAGATCAGCGCTCCGTTGGAAGCATCAACGGCGTAGAGATTCCCGTTCCACGACGGGAAGTAGACTGCCCCGTCAGCAACCGACGGTGTTGCAGTTATGTCGAATCCGGCTAAGAATTTCCATTTTTGTCTTAATAAACCTAATTTCACCGTTATCGGATTTATGGCTCCTCCGACGGCGTTCCTTCGGTTCGTAATGTCACCTCCATGTGTAAGCCACTTCATAATGAGAAATTAAAGAGTAGTTAGTCATTTTTTTCTGTTCTATTTAATTTAATTGTATTGAACAATTTAGAACATTTTGTTTTAAAAGAAAAAAAAATAATTAGCATACATATATATATATATATATATATATATATATATATATATATATATATATATATATATATATATATATATATACCTCTGCGGCTGAGTTTTCTACAATTGAAAGCAAACAAAATGATAAAATAAGAGTAACAAAAATGGAATTCTTAGTTGTGGTGCCAGTAATTAAATCCATAACTTAGGTGGATATTATAGAAGAGCCAGAAATGTTGAGCTATTTATAACTATCGGTGATCATTAGCGGAGCCAGAATTTTAACTTCCGGGACGAATGCATTAAAAAATTCCTGAGGGGGCCCACGTTAATGCTATTATACACGATTTTTTTATATTTCTATATATCGGCAATTCGACCAGTACTACTATTATAAGTACAGCTGTTTCAGTTGAGAATGTGATGTTAGCAAAAAAAAAACATTAAAAAAAATTATCATTCATTTGCAAAAAGCAAAAAGGGAATAATTGCCTAATAAGTTGAAAAAAATAAAGAAACAGAATGATGGTCAAAACTTAACAAACTAAATCCTATCAAGAAATTTATTTTCTTGTCCATCTTACCAAAAGTCCAACCCTAAAACCTTTCAGCCAAGTTGCTAGCTAGTAAATGAATAAACATAATAATCGGAAATCAAACCCGAAACTGAAACTGAAACTGAAACCGAAATTGTAGAAATTAAACAATAAATTAGAGGATAGGATCGAATTGAAGGCCGATCT